TTTCATATTAAGAATATATTTTCAGGACATTAATCCTGTAACGATGGTGACATGGCATGGCATTACTGGTGATTTGATAAGCTTATCCTGACCTTCAGCGGACAATAGCCCAGACTCATCAATGTGGGCCCACAATGCTCCACCTACCAACCCTGTTTCCCTTCATTACCTTTCCACAATTCCAAGAAAAATGTTTTTCTAAAAAAATAATAATAAATAAGAAAAGGAAAAAACGTTGAAAACCACACAGAGCGCAGACGAAGCAGAACCGAACCGGTCAATCCCGAGTTAAATTAAAAAAATAAAAAAAATAAAAAACCCAGCGGCACCGTCCGATCCTTATGTAACTCTACACGTGGCACCTAGTTACCCAATCACGACGTCTTAAAAAAAAAAAATTACACAGCTGTCAGTTAGCGTGCACTCGAGTCACGAGACGGGTCTGCTACTCGGCCCATAGATCCTGCATCCTGTCTCCCCTCCTTCTCACCCGGTAACTATCACCGGGAAACTGGCCGTTGCTGGTGAAACAAGTGATATTAAATATAAATAAATAAATTTCTCTTTTTTCTTCCTAACAAAAAAAAGGGTTAAAATATCAATTTAGATATTAAATTTGGTCCCTCAACTTTCATATTTATACCAAAATTACTTTTAAACTTTAAAAAATATTAAAATTATTTTTAAATTTTAATTTTTAGAACCAAAATATCCTTAAACTTTAATTTAGTACCAATTTAGTTCTTAAACTTTGAGCATAAGTATCAACTTAAATTTTAAGCTTTAATTATAAGTATCGATTTAGTCATTTGACTTTGATTATATATCAATTTAATATATAACTAAAAATATATTATGATATCAAAATATAACTATTAGATTTTACATATCAGTGATATTTTAAAAAAAATTGATTTTATGATAAAATAATGAGTATGTGGCACTTACATTAATAAAAGGATTATTTTAGTATCAAAAATTAAAATTTAAAAATAATATTGATACTTTTTTAAATTTAAGGATAATTTAGGTACAAATGTCAAAGTTTTGATATTTTAACCAAAAAGAAAAAGTTGTGTGCTTTAAAAGCACACAGGTTTGAATCTGAGAACATGACAGGTGGGTGATGTGGACAATGGGCCCTTGTAATGGGAGAGGTTGGGCCCACGTAGTGTGGTCCATGAGATCTTGTCTTGGCTCAAGAGGGATACGGGGAGATTTGGTTTCATGGCTTCTATTTTATGTCCATTACGGTACTGCCTGCTGCCTGCTGCCTGCTGCCTGCGTGTGGGAAATGGAGATGGCAATTGGAGTTCCTCACTCTATTTCCTTAACTCCATCCCCATGTCCATCAAGTTACCTTTCCCTTTCTCTCTTTGTGGAAGATGGGAATCTTCCAAGTTCTTAATACAACAATAACAAGAAATAAGAAAGAGTTTGCTATGTGAAGAAAATGAGTTGAAACAATTGGGGAAGGTGGTGGGTAGATGGCATGATTTGGTAAGGGGAAATAGGGAGGGTTGACCAAAAAAATATGCCTTAGCCCCACATTCTCCCATGGATCCTTTTGTGGTTAGCACTGATCGTCATTGGTCTTATTTGTCTATCTCTATTCATGTTTTAATTAAGAGAGATTATTTGAATTCTTAGTTTAAATTGTCAAAAAAATATTAATTTCATAAGTGAGACTTACATAAAGGAAATATATCCTAGGGTTTTGATTGTTTAGGTGACTTTTTTGACAATTTAGACTCATAAAACATTTCTCACCCTTCATAATTTCATAGGTTATCAAGAATCCATTTATAAAATTTTTTTTTCTTATAATTATTTTTTCCACTCAGACTTAAAAATTTTGTTAGAAAAAATATTTTAATAACTTTTTAAAACTTATTAGCAAATTAAATACTAAAAACTACATAACATTCATTTTCTAACAATTATTTAAATTAACTTAAAAGAAACAAATAATTATAAACAAAAAAAAAAAAAAAAAAATCTACCAAACAATTTCTAAGTAAAAAAATCACAAAAGCAACTCGGCTATTGTTCCAATCCTTTAGCACTCTCCCCTCCTCAAATCTCAAAATTTGCCAATGTTTAAAGTATGTATATATATGTGTTGATATTGTCACCCTTAAGTAATGGGATCGAATCCCTTGCAATTTCCCAACCTCAAATACAGGAGAAATTGGGTTCGGACTTAAACGCATGTTTCATTGACCCAACGCCATTTCTGGCCCTTAGCTCAAACGTTTAATCAAAACCAGTAGATAAAAATATCAGACAGCTGTATGGTGGTGCACTAATAATGAGCCATGATGGATGGTAGTTATACCTATAGCTTGGCCAAAAAACATCCACATTTCTAAACTCTAAAGTGAAAAATCAAATTAAAGGAGGAAATGAAGGAACTTCCCGTGGTTGCAATTAGGACCTCTATTTTGTAGTTATCTACCCCAAAACCCGAGCTAATGGTGTTATTAAGCCAATAATCTTGATTAAAAAATTTCTTGGATATAGAATAATTCGAGAGCATATTCACTCCTTTGGCTCTAGTCTTTTAACTTATACACTTATTTTATGCGTATAACACTTTACAAATTTATTGATTTTTTTATTAACAGTTTTATCCAATCAAATTGTTCATTAATTATTGATATTGAAATTTAGAAATCTATTATATGCATTCTCTTGTTTACTTTCTAGATGAAATTGAATTTATTTTTGGAAGAAAAAGATGCAAATGAGTTCAACACAAAAGTTTTTATGTAAGGTAAAATATTAGCATGGGATCCTTTCTTGATGCTGCCTAATTTTCTAGACAAATTATAGGAGGTTACTTGAAGAAACAAAATATAGCAAACTTTGTATATTTTGGGTTATGTTATGGTAATTTACTTTCAATTATGGCAAATAAATTCCTCAGTCTAAATAATTCTTTGGGGACAGTCTAAATAATTCTTTGGGGACAGCATATTTATAATTGCATTTGAAGGAAATATTATCTTAAAATATCTTCAAATATATAATTTCCAAAAAAGTAATTTTTCTATTTGCACCAATTTCTCCATATTTTCTAAGTATACCGGAAAAGAAAAGGATTCTTGAGTATAAAGAAATTAACAAGGTAAAAAGACTCCAAACTTTTTAAATTGTAAAAAAGTTCATATTGAGAAAATAAAAAATATATATTTATTATTATTTTGTGTAAGTAATAATAAAGTCATACAATACGTTTTATATTAGTTTTGATATTGAGATGTATTTTAATCTAATATTTTTAGGATATAATATTTATGAGTTGGTTTAAAATTACCACAAAAGGAAAGGACTTTTATGTCATTGCGAGTAGTTGATTATTTGGGAAACTAATAAATTAAAAAATGAAGAAAATAAAATATGGAAAAATGAAAAACAGAAAAGGAAAAAAATATGGGAAAAAAAAAGGAAGGAAGTAATCGAGTCTGGAGTCGGTCTGTGTGGGGGCGAGAGAAGGTAGAGAAATCGAGAAAGGAAGGAAAAGCCATTACAGCCAGAGAAAAATACCCAAAAAGTAAAAAAATTAAAAAAAATTAAAAAAAAAAAAATCCTCTAAAAGAATAAAAAAATGTCATCTTTGGGTTGAAGAGAAGGTGCCCTCGCTTGGTGCCATCCAGTTCTTCCTCCCTTCTCTCTTACACCCATCTCCGTTTTCTC